GTGTTGTATTATTCCATGCTTATTTAAGCTTCAACAGTATCAATTTTACTTTTGGGTTGAAAGTGTATGTGTTGCATGATCTGGAGCGGAAATTTACAGTAGAAGTTTTCGAAATTAGTCGATCTTTCAATAAATTTTTATTGCAACGAAAGCATATTTGTTTCAGTTAAAACTACATTATTTAAGTTGAAGTCAAGAACGATTAGTGCACCTGTCTATTGTTTTTATACATGATTCATTTTATGTTATACACAACGTTAAAACAGAAAAATCAATCAATCAAAAGTTTTATGTTCGTATAATATTTTATTTAAATTCTTAGATGTTTCTTCAATGTATATTGGTGCCTTTTTCTACTCTATTTCGTAAATACCTGCATCACGTTTAATGTTGTCATTATTTTGTTTAGGGTTTATTAATTTTATTTATTGATGGAAAAACATTTATATTATGTTTAGATAATGTTATCAAGTCTATTTGTGTTATTTTCTATTTTGTTTTTGTGGGTCGTCTCAGCTCCATTTTGTGTGATTTCAACATTTTATTTCATATGGGATAATTTTGTTAATGGAGAAGATTCAAACTATTTCTATTGATAATTATCTTTAGGATTTATCAGTTAATGCTATTGTTTGTTTCTGTTTAATATGTACATCCGATTGTATTCTAATTTTTTTTTGTAATCATCTTATCACAAGCAAGGCAACAAAGCCACTAAGTCGCAAGGAGTTACTGAGTGTGAGAGAATGTGAGAAAGAAAAAAACATCATTAAGAGTAATAACAATAAAAGAAGAGGATTAAGAAAACAGAAGATAACGATTGACATTGCATTTAAATGTTGAAGATCAAAGTTGATTGGGAAGCAAGAAACCGCAAGAGAGTTCCACAATGAACTTTTAGCACGGTTAAATCTGTAGCCGTTTCAACTGTAAAATGATAAGATCTTACCGCCAATCTAGTAGTTCGCTTAACTTCATAGAATCTAGCTACCATAGAGGAAAGTTCATCAGAGTAATTACCATGAAAATTGTTGTGGATTCCGTGAATGGAATCCTGCACAAATAAATAAACAACGCCAGTAATTGAGATAGAAAAAATAAGTGTATTAAACGTAAGAATACAGACTTGAAGATTAGTAGTCCAGGAATGCAGGTTAGTAGCAAGTATATGTCTCAGGTAAGTAAAGCCGTAACCATCTCTCTTCCTGGACTCTTGTATAACTCTCTGAAAACACCCTGTGTTTGTCTTCGTATCTCTCAACCTGTCTCAACGTATCTCAAGGTATCTCAACCTATCTCGATATTTAACAGTCCACACACGAGGAATGTATGTGGTACAAGGCAGAGTTTAACGTGGGTTTCTACGAGTCCGTAAGCTCAGCCGAAAAATATCCCCCCCCAACCCGCATAAGCGGGTTCGGGAACTGTCTACCTCCCCGGACGAAACTTTGTCCTTCGGCAAAGCTTCGTCCGGGTTCCTCTCTGCCAAAGCAGAGAGTTCGACAGATGTCGCACACAGTCAGAGACTGTATCTCGGTAATTAATATCCCACCCACAAGGAATATATGGGGCACAAAGCCGAGTTTAACGTGGGTTTCTCCGAGCTCGTAGGCTCGGCCAAAAATATATCCTTTGAACCCGGCTAGACGGGTTCAGGGCCTGTCTACCTCCCCGGACGAAACCTCGCCCTTCGGCAAAGCTTCGTCCGGGTTCCTCTCTGCTAACGCAGAGAGTTCGACAGACGTCGAGAATGTATCTCAACGTGTCTCAACAGTAGGTATTCTCTCTGTCACTATAAGTATACTTTGGACGAGTCCATCTTATGTAAAAAGGGGAGAGCCCCACAACAAAAATAATTACAGAAAAGGCTGATCGAATCTATATTACTGCGGTGGGGAATTCGAGATGCCAGGTCAGAACCCATATCATTCCAGATTTTTTGGGTTTTATCAAGGATCTCTAAATATATACCAGAAGAAAAGATCAGATATGGCAGCAATATTCATATCAAGCGTAGATAAAATACATCCGGTGAGAAAAATTGTCTAGCCAAACACAGTAAACCAAATTTCTGCAGACGTAAAAATTGCCTCAGTATAATCTTTCTACTTCATGTCAGCGGTAAACGTTAGCTCGATATGGCGCAATGAGTCACTCTCCTGGGGGTAGAAAACTTCTCCCAGACGATTAAGAGAGAGCAGTTTCGTTTTGGAGCTGTTAAAATTAACAATCCATATCTTGCTCCAGTTAACAACAGATTGTAGGTCATTTTTTAAATCAGCCGCCAATTTGATATATATATTAAGAAAAGGGGTAAATATTCATTAGCATACGGAGTTTGGAACTGACGCCACCAGGAAGGTCGTTTATGAAAACGTAGATCAAATGATAAAGCCTTGGGGGACACCTACATTAAAGCAAAAAGATCCAGAAGAGTAGCCTTTTAAGACAACTTTCATTTCGCGAATACTGAATCAGTTCAAAAATTAGTTTTTTTTACAAGATCAATTCAAAATGTTATGCGGTGTTGTATTAATAAAACACCACAAACATATAATATAATATTCGAATTAATTTTGTGACATTTAAAAAAAAGGACCAGTTTCTAGAAATTCTAACAGAAGACAAGCTAAAACATCGCTAAAACTGGGTTCCATCGTTAATGCTAATTTCTGTCTATAAAAATTATTATCGAGAGAGAAATAACATTTGTAATTAGCTGAATTTTTAAAAAATAATTTTGTAGAGAAATCTAGTCTATCGAATAATTTTTTTTGTGCAGTTTTTATTTGTATTGTTTATATTAAATTAATTCCGAATGTTTTTTATTAAACATATAATAAACCTCAATCCAGTAATTCATGTCCTATCACAAAACTTTTTGCTTAATTCTTGAAGACTGAAAGCTGTACATCGCTCAAACAAATTTTAGATAAAAAAAGAGATATTTGGTTTATTATAAAGAAAGAGACTAAAGTTAAACGGTTAATAATTGGACAGCGACACAAACAATTGTAATTGATAAGTAAAAACTGAAACTTTGTCTTCGTAAATCAAATTAAAATGCAAGCATTTCTTAAAGATATAGAGGCCTATTATTTCCTTTTTTTTAATAATGTCATTTGATTGATCTATTCTATAAATAAGATTAGTTAAAAAAACAAAGAAACTTCCTTGGTTAGGATTATTTATTTACTCTTTCTATATTTCGGAACATTTTCATTACAGTGGGAACATATTTAAATACACATTGTCCAACGTTTAAGTACTTTTAGCTCTCATAAGCAATTATCAGAGTGTTTTGTTTTTGTACTATGTCGGTTTTGTCAATTTCAAATATCACTTCTTTGCGTTTACATGTTACAGTTCGTAGTATCCTGTCTATTTTTAAATGAATCATTTCTTTGCATTTTCTTTTCTAAATTTGATAAGATTTTTCATGTTAGCTTTTTATGATGGATGCTTCTAGCTTTTAAATTTGCTTTTTTTCAGCTTATGTGATATAGACTTTTGTGTTAGTGTTTAGGATCTGTAGGTTTTCTTGTTTTCTTTTTGTTGATTTAGATGCTTTTTAATTTACTATTACCAGAAAAATTGCTCGTTTATCGTCGCGATAATATAACAGCTGTGAAACCAATGTATGCGTTGTTTGAATAAATATTAATGCTAAATCTTCTTCAAGTAGTTAAGCGTTTTCATAGTGAACATTGGTTTGTTCAAGTTTTTATTTTTTGTCATCGTTATAATCATGCTGGTAATTAATGTTTGCAGGGATACATTTAATTTGTTTTTGCCGATTTGTAATCTGTATCTATATATTAAGTTTCAAGACCACTACATTATCGAATTTTCGTTGTTTTTAACCAGAATTGCACAAATGAAAAGCTGTTGTCGAAACATATCTCTCTCAATCTCTCTCAATCTCTCTCAATCTCTCTCATTCTCTGTCTTTTGTCTGTCTCCCCTTCTCTCTCTCTCTCATTCTCTGTCTTTTTTTGTCTCTCTCTCTCTCTCTCTCTCTCTCTCTCTCTCTCTCTCTATATATATATATATATATATATATATATATATATATATATATAGTGGATACTGAGGGCAACATCACTCGGTAACAGACTGTTTTATACTTGAAAGCACACATTCAAGCATGAAACAGCGTTATTTTTATATTAAGTTAAAAATAATCTATGCGCTTTTTATTAGTTTTAAGTTAATTTTTCTTCATTATTCCGCGTATATATATATATATATATATATATATATATATATAGAGAGAGAGAGAGAGAGAGAGTAAATACATTTTTGAATAATTGACTTAAAATTATTAATGATATCACAACTTCAATACAAAGCATTGTAGACTCGGCTCTAAAGATTTTGGTCTTGAAAAACAATAAAAAAAACGTGGCGAAGATTATAGGAAATCGCATCAATGTCTTTCCTAACATATCATGGCAATTGGTATTAAAGGGAACTCTGGAGAAACCATGAACACGTATCCATTGATGGGATATGGCATTCAGGAATAATCTGTATTTAAAATATATGGAATTACAAAGATATATAAGATTACAAAAATAAAAATCCAATATCAAAATATATATTGCAATATCTTAAAGCATCTAAGAATATTTAGAATATAAGCAAATAATTTTCGAGAACATACTACATATAACCCTCAGCAGTTAATTCAGTAGGTAATTTTATGGATCAGATAGATAGTTATATAGATATCATTTTTTGAGATCTACTCCTGTGTTTTTAAAGTAAGTAAATACTGCCTGGGGTTTTTGTTTAAAATTGTTGTAAAAAACCACATGTCTCCTCCACAGACAAGTAAAAAACAGTAGAAATAATACGTAAGAATAAAACGAAATGGAAAATATATTTTTGGAATGTTCGCCTTCATTATTTTAGCCGATGGCAAATAAAGTTTCACTGATACTTTAATGTCATCAGGTTTAATTAACAAGAAAAAATAAATTTACGTATGCGTATGACAGTCATCCCATCTATCTATCTATCTATCTATCTATCTATCTATCTATCTATCTATCTATCTATCTCCATCTGCCTATATTTCCGTGTTTGTTATTGAATATTTTTTAACTGGGATAAATTTCAAATCTATTGGTCGTTACTAGCTTCAGTGTGGGAATCATTAATTCTTAGGTCGTGCCCTGTGTCAAAAAATAATAATACCAATAATAATAATAGCTACCATAAAAGATGTTATGATAAAGATGGGAACATGCAAATAAGGGAGACCTCTGTGACAACAGGGTGTTCATAATGATATTATACCACGTCGAAATGCCCACATGACAGAGTAAACAAACATCCATAAGAATGCATATACATGGTCAGAAAATAGTCTTGAAATTAGACACCTATAGGAATATATAAGTATGTATAGAAACACTGTCAAGTCTTGTCCAGCTATTAATACTAATAATGAAAACGATGAGTATAAATAAAAACATAGGTTTCAATTGTTATCTTTGTGTAAGTACAATCATTGGAAATTCCTAGATCTTTATTTAATTCTAAATTCTGGGTGTTAAATTTGTTAATCAAATTGCTATTAGCTTTTCTTCATTCATTCTGAAAATTAAAGGAAGAGGCGAGAAACAGACACCTAACATTGTCTATACTATGATTAGGTAAGTTGGAATGTTGTGCTAGAGTAGAGTAATTATAGTTCTATCTGTCTTTTAGTGATAGTAGAATCGGAGACGTAATTCAGGGCCAGTCTCAACAATACGATTGCCACGGTCATAAACATTGCGGGAATTCAGACTATATTGAAGCTGTCACAAGTAGAGTGAGAGGCATACTTTATCTTCTCTATTTGTAAATTGTATTGATGACAGTAAGCATACGTATTTGCGGGGTTTGGTTTATTACACGTATAATTGACTCGTTTTAGTTTGCAGAGTTTTCTGAATTGTTATATTATATTGGCTGATTGTCGTTTTGCACTAACTGGATGTTCTCTTAATGTCTTATTAATAATGGCATCTAGTTTAAGATTTCAGAATTATCTTTTGAGAAATGAAAAATTTGATTATATTATGATTAAATTCAATTACTATGTGTATTCGTGGCATATCTGTTTTGTTTTTGTAGACTAAAAAACTATTTCTGATGTATGTATTTTCATGGATTTTTGATTATTTGCAGTTATATTTGTTGACGATGTCCTAGTCACCGTTTTGGGGTCCTTGGATCTTTACGTTTGATCGTGATGTTTGATCATACAAACACATTCACACGCATCAACGTCTGTATTTATTGTGTTGGAACAAAAGTTGCAAGCGTTTTTTATACTAATTTTAAATAAATTATTAGATATTAGTACATAAATCTATTCAACCAGATACGTGCCATTCTTCTTCTTCTTCTTCTTCTTCTTCCTCCGCCTCCTCCTCCTCTTCCTCTTCTTCTTACTCCTCCTCCTCTTCTTCTTCTTCTTCCTCCTCTTCTTCTTCTTCCTCCTCCTCCTCTTCTTCTTCTTCTTCTTCTTCTTCTTCTTCTTCTTCGTGTGCTATGTCTCTTCAGAACATGGCCAGTTATAGATCTTCACGACTTCTTGTCCTTTGCAGTTCTTATAATGTTTATCTTTTTACCATCCCTCCTACTCCCCGTTCTGCAATCCATTCACAAAGTTCGACAGATAGGTGGCCCACTGAATTTCTCTGTCTCTTTTACCTATGATACTCTCTTTCTAATTTTGAGTATAATTGTCTTATTTGTTTCCCAATTTCCTTAAGATTTCTTCCTTGTTTACGTACTCCGTCCATGTTATTTTCAGAATCCTTCTGCATAACCACATTTCTGTCGTTTCTATTTTTTTTTTCTTTACAAGGCAATTTAGTACTTTTTTTTTTTGTTTCTAATGAATTTATTCTGTTTCTTAGTAGTTTGGTTAATTTTCATAAAAGCATGGTCTTTGTTATTCGAATGCGTCTTCAGATTTCGGTGTCACATTTTCCATCCTCGACATCCTTCCAAAAAGTCATCACATTTTCCACTTTTGTCATATTTAATATAAAGATTATTCAAAATTCCCTTTCCACACACGAATCATATCGGGAATGTCCCTTTTCACAATATATATTTCATAAATTTTCGTCACATGTTCAAACACCGCCTGTTCAAAAACGTTACAAACTTGTTTTCCAATCTCAAAATATAACATTAATGGATTCAGTTTTTAATTCTTCATTATTTTTTTTATTACGATATACGTTTTATGCATGTTTTTATTTCTGTTAACCTTATTTTTTAAATTAATTTTACGTTAAACAAACCACAAAATGAACCATTTCTTGAAACACCTAAATCCTAAAAAATATTTATTTCAATAAGATATATAACAATAATTTCAGGCCAAAGAGGTCTTTTTTCAACGTATCTCTCGATGCGAAATTATGAAATTAGACCTTGTTCAAAGAAATGATTTGAAATGATGTGCAGAAGCATAAACATAATTCGAATTCTGAAGGCTGATTCCGTTTTTACGGAGATATGCCCTACGTGATCTCGCAAATTCGTATGCGTTCACGTACACGCATACACACACAAACACACACTTACACCCACTTACACACAAACACGCAAACACACAAACACGCAAACACACAAACACACACACACACATATATATGAAGAAAATATCTGGAAAAACAAAACAAAAATCCTTAAAATGCGATTATGTTGTTTTAATATGAATGAAATGTCGACGTCTGACGTTTCGGTTTAATAACCTTCTTCAGGACAATATTCATTAAAAATACAATTAACATAATCAATATAACACGACGAAAACGATGGACATAAAAACAAGTCTTATCCAAAACATCTGTCGGATTTATATCCATTTATATTTGCTTATCACATATATATATATATTAATGTATATTTGGGCAGTAATCTTTCTTTTAAAGATCTTTCGTTAAATATGACGGGCAAGGAAAATGTTATTAATTTTTCATTTAGTTTTTCCAGCGTACTTCCTCAGTCATTTTAAGAGAGTTTTGGTTTGGTGGTGTTAGTTTCTTTTCATGTTTTTGAATGCTGAGATGTATTTCTCGTGGGCTTTTAAAAGCTAGTAGGAGCGTTTATTCCAGTAATTCGCGTATTAAGCACGGCTGTGATTCCAAGATGAGGGTGATAGTTAGAGAGAGATGTTTAATATACAGAGCCTCTCTAAAATTGCACTTTTCTCTGATAAGTGATACATGACGCGTCTACTTAAGGATTTAGTAGTATGTCTGATATAAGTAATTGATTTATGACAAGAGACAGTCGCTGAGTGTTGACTTCAATGTCCACTTTTATATTTATATACGCGCTATCCATGATATTGAGCACTAAGACATAAATATAACATACCATATATCTATATTTACATATATATATATATATATATATATATATATATATATATATATATATATATTCGTTCGGCATCCGTGCGTCGCAGGACACGATGGAATAGCGCTTATTTTTGTTTTGTTTTGAGTTACATCACTTCATGACTGTGTAGTCCCACTCTGGGCGGCAGTCTCTCAGGAACTTGGCGCAGATGAAACTGGATCACACGGAGACGGAGGCTGTCCTTGCTTTTCTCCTGGCTCTCTTTGCTGCCTGCTGATCTTCCCTCGCGGTTTCTGCAATCGTGACGCAGTCACTGACTGTGGTTATCCAAAGCTGACGATCGTCAGTCGCGGCCTTCCATGTTTTGGGGTCGATGATTTACGCCGCTGCTCACAGGGAAGGCGTCGGATGCTTCGCTGTTGTAACAGACTGTGCGGTGCATGACCTCGTGGAAAGACTTGACCATCTGGAGCAGTCTTAGGGGACATCCTACCTTCCTCTCCAGGAGGCTGAAGAGTCCGCTTCTGCTAACCAAGTCGAAGGCTCTCGTCACGTCAATAAATGCAATATACAGTGGTTTCTGCTGCTTTCGACACTTCTCCTGCAGCTGGCGCAGCGAGAAGATCATGTCCACTGTAGATCGGCCTGCCCTGAAGCCACACTGCGACACGGGGTACACATGGGAGTCGAGGCTCTGCAGGCGTGGCAAGACGACGCGGGCAAAGGCTTTCCCGACGACGCTGAGGAGAGAAATGCTGCGGTAGTTGTTGCAGTTGCCACGGTCACCTTTATTATTATAGAGGGTGACAATGTTGGCATCTCTCATGTCCCGGGGGACGCGACCCTTCTCCCAGCACAGGCACAAGAGCTCGTGGAGATACCACAGGTGAGCTGGCTTGCCATTCTTCAGAACCTCCGATGGGATCCTGTCCCACCCAGGGGCCCTCCCGTAGGAGGGACTGTTAATGGGTTTTTCCGAGTTCTTCTGCAGAGGGCGGGGCATCCAACTCCTCCATGACTGAGAGACTGGGCAAGGCATGCATGGAGGCATCTGTCACCACGTTCTGGGTTGTATAAATCTCCAGGTTGTGCTCCACCCAGCGCTCCAGTTGCTTGTCCTGGACTGTAATGACCTCTCCTGCCCTGGACTTCAGCAGAGCCGTCTTGATAGCAGTGAGGCCTGTGGCGGTTTTGATGCTGGTGTACATGCCTCTTGCGTTTCCACTGTCAGTAGCCGTCTGGATCCTGCTGCACAGGTTCAGTCAGTAAGAGTTGGCGCAGCGGCGTGCAGTCTGTTGGGCCTTGCTGCGCCGCTCTGAGGGCATCGCTGGTACTGACGCAAGGGTTTTGTTTGTAGGCCAGAAGTGCTTGTCTCTTGGCTTCAGAGACTGGCTGCATCTCATCCCAGTGAGCTTCGTACCAGTCCGCATTTCAACGATCCTTCTTCACGAACGCAGTAAGGGCTGAGATGTATATGGCATCACGGTAGTGGTGCCATCTACTGTCGATGTCAGTGGCACTGAAGGAGGATGTGTCGACGTTCGCGCTAAAGGTGGTTTGGAAGCGGCGAGAGCCCTCAGGGTCATTGTAGCGACAGGTGTTGATGCGAGGGAGGCCCTTGGTTTTGGAGCGGTGTATTTTCTTGGTTGTCAGTCTCACTTTTGCAGCCTACTAGGAAGTGGTCAGTGTCGCGTATAATACTTTAGTATTGGGGTTTCTGGAACGTCCGGACCATGCGCCCTGGACTCGCAGATGACATCAAGAGATCGACGATACTCGAAAGACCTCAATCATACACAGGAAACTCTCAAGACTGGGCAATGACATCGCCTGCCTGCAAGAGACTCGTCTGGTCTCATAGAACTGGTCCCTGACATCTGGGGTGGCACAGAGCTTTGGCGCGTAGATGCAGAGGACGTTGGCGAAACCTGTAGATGTTGAGAGGCGCAGTGCTAGGATTCTGTCAGATCCACCAGTTGGTGGTTCACTGGCTGGTATCAGCGAGTTCCTCACAGCGACGCCTACGCCGTGTTGCCTTTGGGTCATCCTGAGGCCGACCCTGCCAGAAGAAGGAGTTGTTGGTCTCTCTGATAGAACCGCTGTCAGCCAGACGAGTCTCTTGCAGGCAGGCGATGTCAATGCCCAGTCTTGAGAGTTTCCTGTCTATGACCGCGGTCTTTCGAGCATCGTCGATCTGTTGGATGTCATCTGCGAGTCCAGGGCGCATATTCCGGACGTTCCAGCTAGCAAATTGAAGAGCTGGAGTCATCGTGTTTCTTTCTTTTCTGCTTGGTGCGGGATTTACAGCTTGCTTGTCAGGAGGATCAGTCCCTGAGTCCTACACACCCAGTAGAGCAGGCAAGCTGTGACAGGACAGCAGCTTACTGGCTGGGAGGCGCCCAGCTTGAGGCGGGTAGTAGCTGTCCACTGAGACGCGATGATCTCTCCCACTGACGTAGGTGACCCCAGGCGCCCGCAGCCTACGCCAATCGGGTTGGGCTTTTGACCGGTAACTGTCACTTCCTGTGTTTTGCCAATGTTTTGCGACGTCGCTGGAGTGTCCTCTCCAGTGCGCTACGAGCCTGGGCGGGATGAATGGAGAACAAGGGTTGCCCGGACGTCTAGTTCCCCCTCTCGGCCTTGCCAGCAGAGCCCAAAGGAGAGGATAAACCAACACAGTTTAGTACCAGCGCGGCTGCAGCAGTTGCCGGAAGATAGCACAGAGTGCCATCCATCTAACTTAGGGGTTCCACTCTGGATATGTGTAGGGTTTACTCATGGCTTACTTACTCATGGCTTACTTACTTACACCAATGGCCTTTCCCTTTTCTTTTCCTGGACCTATTAACCCATAGCTGGGGTTTGGTTCATGGGCACAATGGCAAGTCCACACACCTGTGGGCTTGCAAGCCGCATATGTTAAGGGGGCCAACTCCTCCCCTGTAGTTTAGCCCCAGTCCGCAAGGTACACGGTTACCATGTGTCACCACGAGGTGGCTCTATATAGGGCTTGCTGATGGAGAGGCTATATACTGGCAGGGGAAGACTTACGCACTCGACTCCCTTTTTACATTTCTGCTAGCCAGCGGCGGTAACTGAAAGCGAAAACGACAAGCACTACCACAACAGACCACCACACTAGACGCATCAAAACAGCCGTTGAGACACACAGACACAGACACAGAAACACAGACACACACACACCACACACACATATATATATATATATATATATATATATATATATATATATATATATATATATATATATATATATCCCTCACTGCTAACACGACTCGGAGTGCTTAGTATGAATTGGCTGTTACGTAATTTGAATTTTAATCTATATGATATCATAATTTTGGCGTAGTTACAGTTTTTTAATGTTAAAATTTATACTTGAAAATTAAAATAAGCGGGATTTATATATGTATGCAACAATAAAATAAAATTAAGAAATTAAAACAAATTATTTTTGAGTTGCGAATATTCATTTTTTCATTACATAATACAGATTAAAAGGAAATTACTTGTTCTTATTTAAAAAACAATCATTAATTTATATCCAAAATAAATAATAATTTACATTAAAAATTAAAAATAATAACCGTGATCAACGTATTTAAGCAGATATTTATTTTTATGCCTACATGTAACGATCAATTTATTTCTGTCGTTTCGTACTCTGTTTTGGCAAGACCTTCACAATATGTGATATATATATATATATATATATATATATATATATATATATATATATATATATATGTGTGTGTGTGTATTCAACCACGTATATACGCTCTCCCTTAAATATAGATAAATAGGCATGTTTCGTATTTCCTTTACATTTAACAATATTGTGAAAATGGATATGATTAAAATTAATGCTAAAAATAAACATATTCTTTCATTAATAAAGCATTATCCTGGATAAAATCTGCAATATAAAAATATAGCATTTTATCGGTAGATACATGATAAATGTAGGTACGTAGAAAAATATATCCATACGTTTGTCGGTGTTTGACTACTAAGAGTATAAGAAAACTTGCCATTGAGGAGGGAAAATGCAGTTGCGTATAAAACATTTTCGTCTACTCTGCTTGCTTTTTTCTTTGTCAAACGTCAAACGTAATAGGTTGGCAAGAAATTTTGTAACAGTTTTTGAGATCAAAAATTCCTGTTATTTCATAGAATAATAAACTGAGACAAATTGTTCGCCGAAATCGGTTTATGTTTAACGTGATGTCGACTTCAAGCGCCAGATGATATTTTGTATTTTTGTTTCTGATAATTTGATGGCAATCAATTTACGACGAAGAATAAGCTTTCACTCTTTTACAAATAGACCAACTGTGAAACAAGATTGCTTCTCTATCAATATCAATTCTATTCCATAAGCGGTCTTTTCCATAGAATGATTACATTTCTTTCTCTTGAAATAAAACATACAAATGGCTAGTGTACGCCATGTGGTTTTTATGCTTTGGAGGCATGCATTTCACAAGCTATTGAGAATAACTTGTGTTTAGAATAGAAGTTAATGTATATTAATCAAATTGCAAAAGGGGACTTATTCAGTAAAATAAATCAATCAATCCCACCTACAAAACTGTGGCACTATGTGTTCCAGCTAGATTGATTAAACCAGGCAGTAGTCAAGTGGTCTGTAAATTATATTATCTGCTACTGGAATGAACGCAGGTTTTAAGACTATCAATTGCATTCAGACTAAAATGGAGATATGAAACTTTAAAAGACAACCACTCGCTGTCTATATATAGAGTAAAAGAAATAAAATATAAAAATTAAAAATATCGGGATCAAGTGACATTCGACTAGAATATAAGAAATTTACAGTTTTATATAGTCAGGCCTTATTCTACATGAGGACAGTCAGATTCATGGTTAGATTTAGAAACGTTGTAGAGTTCTCGCTGGCCGATAGGAAGATTAGGTCCGTTAACTCTCGTTAGCAGGGAAGATGTCATAAATATCATTTACCTAGACGAGACAACAGAATGAAAAGATGTTTATTGGAATCACCAAACTTCTTGTATTTCTCAACAAGATGATATGATGCCTTGCAACAGCTGCATTTGAAATTTCTGTCCCTGTGCGATTTCTTAACTTCAATTACTTTATTGTGCTTACACCTGGCCTTTCCCAGTCGGTTTGATGCCAGTGCATAAGAGGAATTGAACTACGGTATAAAGCAGAAACTAATTATTCTGTAAAAACTGCCCGATGAACCCGGGCGTATACTGACACAATTACCTTATATCAACCACAAGATACTAAAATAATATTCACGTGGGAAATATTTTAAACACAAAAGGCAATTGACGCATATGATATTAGGTGAAATATTTTGTAAGACTTTCAAACAGCTAACTGGCATTTGGAGAATATTCTTATCATAAATATATTAACAGGGTTTTATATAATATAGGGGTACCGTTCCTTGAAGTTAACGTTATTCGGCGAAGTTCAAACGTGGTCATCAAGATGTAATTCAGGTCCTGAAATAGTGAATGAAGGCATCAAACAGTTGGTATATTTATTCAAATTCTTTTCTGAATTTTCTACATAACGTGAAGTGCCAAAGAGCAGAAAAGGTGTCGTCTGTCTCTTTGACGCCATTTATCAGCTCAGCACTTTTGAACTATATTGTCTTGTGTAAACGTTACACTGATTGGGTACATATAGAACAGACATTTTCTCCGCCTTTTTCATTTCTAGAGAAAAAAGTAAACACAAAAATCTACTTTACACCAGTAATGAAAAACAGAAAGACGAATCTTTCATTTCTGTACCTCGAAACTAGTACAGAAAAAGAAGCCCAATAGCAAAGAATGAAAAAATTTTCTTGTAAAATCGCAGATTGATAGAGTTTTTTTTTTTGGTGTTTAACGGTATATCAACTTCTTATGGGTCATTTAATGCCGAAAATTCATTTACTTTGTGAGCTTTGCTATTTTTTTTTTCAAAAATCTGTTGCATTGCTGGTAATATTTTTTTAAATTTGTTATGCAAATGTATTGCTAGTAATTTTTTATAATGTTTTTATATTTTCATGTTTTGCTCGCAGTTTAGGGGTTCATTATTTGACTATAGCTGGGAGTTAAAAGGGTGAACCTGAAAACAGAAATTAAGCGGCTGTTCCAGGATCGTCAAAACTCCTCGATCGGAGGCCTTGCTACCGGATGTAGTTTATTCCCCTGCCCAAAATGGACCCGGTTGGTAGTACCTGTTAAAGTTCCAGCTATGGGAAAATAATGAACTCCCAAATAGTGAATCCTCAAAACACTATGAAAATATAAAAATACATTTTCATAGTCAAAAAATTACCACCAGTACATCGTGTAATATTTGTTAAATTAGCCCTGACTTTAGTAGAAATGTTGCTAACAGTCAGTGGACTTGACAAGTTTATTTTCCAGAAAAACCGATTTAATGGAAATATATAAATCTCAACCGAAAGTAAAGTTAATTGCTCAGGCAATAAAGATTAACGTCACCAATAATCTAATTTATTTAATACTAACAATAATTTAAAGTATTCTAAACAAACTTTTATAATTTTTGTTTGCTCTCTCAATAAACTTTGAGCCCAGCTTTATCCTGATTGAATACTATGCATTCTTCATAAATAGTGTTGTTTCATTTCAGCTGACTGATAAACTAATGCATGCTAGGTATGCCCAGCTCCAGAAACTCCAAGGAAAGACTTGGGAAGTTCATAGTTCATACTTTTTCAAAGCTCGGCTTTTCATTCTCATATTTCTTGTTGTTGCTGAACGCTAAAAGGCAGAAAAGAATGATCTCTCTTTCATTATCAACAACAACTTTTGCCTACTGACGATTAGTAGATTTCGGCATTAAATAATACATAGAGTTTAATATGCCGACAAACAAATACAACCAAACAGCCAACATGAAAGCGATTTTTCATGATATTAATCCATATAATATCCGAGAAATTCTTAAAGTAAACTGTACTTCAAAATATAGCTTTAACAATACTACAACATAAAACACAAACATCACCGCCTCTAGTAATTATGTCCACACAAGCATGTTTCAAATTCCTTATTTGTATTCCTTTTTTTGGTATACTTTTTGTCTATCATGCTGTGAAGTTTGTTTGCAGATTTTCACACACACACACGCCACACACGCCACACACACACACACACACACACATATATATATATATATATATAT